CTGTAGTTTTGTTTACTTGTACAATGCATTAAGGAAATGACTAAAAACTTTCCTTGTGAATTGTTTACCACTAACTGTGGAAGAAGACACATAGCAAAAATTCTTTATTTTCATTTTGTAATTCAAACTGAAGGATGTACTTGAAAGAGTTTTGCCCTAGAATAAATTACAGGACATCATAGTGGTAGTTCATCAGGGTTAAAGTTCAAATCAGCCATGCTTACCCATATGGCTACTTCCTCTTTTTTTTCCCTGAATGCAACTTCCTCATTCCTTTCCCAGGGGCCCAAAGAAAAGTCCTATTAGATCCTTGCATGACATCAATGTCAGTGCCAGGCACCACATAGAGCAAAGTTTCACATATACCCCATAATCCCATAATCAGTCAGAAGAAAAGGCAAACCCTTGGTGGCTGTAGGCTCCCCTCCACATTCTTTAAATAGAAAGGACACTTTTACTTTTTCTTATATTCTGCTTCTCTATTGGGTCACAAAATCCTAACTGATAAGATTATATAGTATGTCCAAAAGATGAGAAGTATAAAACAAAAGAGGCCTTTATTCTGAGAATGTGAAGAGAAAAAACAAAAACCCCCTGACCACTGGAGTCTGGCTTTCTTTCTCATGGACTCGTGGCATGGGGGCATATAAGCAACCTAGGTTTGGGGTGGAACCTGAGGGGGCACTAGGGATGCACAAGTAGTCCATTGGTCTTTGTTTGGCACCATAGGTAAATTCCTAGGTGCAGGGAAGTTGGAGTCACAGGTAAATTCCTAGAGGTGGGGGGAGATAGGAGATCCTTGGTTCTGCCTCACTGGCTACAGTGTCCTTGGCCAAAACTCTTTCAGTAACAGTACTGATTCTTGTGTATGTATGAAGCTAATTTAGCTCTTCAGTAATTCTCATGTTAAATGCCACGAGGACCCAATGGAAATTAATGCAGTGGGGTATTGCTTCACTCTATCAGTGTCAATGCAGTAAGTTTAATCCTAAGATAAAAATAAATCTTCATATAAATTTCAAAACACAAATATGCATCAAAATACAGCCAAGGTCCTACAGACCTACAGACAACTTTGAATAATATAATAGAAGCCTTCTAGAAACTGACAAAAATACACAGTTTTTCTAATGAAAAATTGTTCAAGCAGCCAATAATGTAGAAACTTTTCTGAGCAATTATAGGTGAATCTTCTCTTTAATAAGATATAACCTACTGCAATGGCAATGTCTAATTTTTGTTAAATAATACACTCAAACCAATTATTTAACATTTATAATGACTGATGTATACAATATTAGATATTGCCAGGACTACAATCACTGTGATTTGTATTAATCACTTAAAACTGCTGGAGAAGGAGCAAATTTCAGACCTTATATAGTATAATCATGTTAATTTGGCTCATGTTAATGGTATAGGGTAATGAAACTCCATACCTACTATATGTCCAGTATGAGTTTGTGTTCTCTAAATTGAAAGAATGAATTTTAGGAATGATGGAGTTTAAGAATGGAACATATTATTGGGAGAAGGAAAGCTTCTGAGAGACAGAAAGGGTCCTGAGTGGGTTGCCAAAGATTCTGTCTTTTTGAAGTGCTTGTACAGAGGTAAACCATGAGGTCAGATGGGTCACAGGAGGGAAAAAATAGGAATTTTCAAGATTACCATAAGGCGGGATGAGACTATGGTCAACCAATAAAGTTAATTACTCAGGTAAAATTGATTAAATTGGGAGCAAATGGGAGAGCAAGTCACATACTAAGTGGGCCTGTTTAAGAGCAGGGACACTTCCTGTAGGGGGTTGGGATGGTGACTCTTGGGTTCCTCAGGGTGATCAGAGAACTATTTGGACTGTGGGTTCTTAGCACTTGGTTGCATTTCCTTGCCTTTTCTTTTGAGATTTGGCCCACAGCAGGAGGTGATTGTCTCTTCCAATGTTACAAGCAATCTGAACTTATTTTCTGGCTCCTTTGAGGGCCCAGCCCTGTTGTTACAGGCAGCTGAGTTAATTAGAAATATATAGCCAGGGAGACAGGATCAGGTCCGAGAAGTGGCCAGTGCAGAAGCCCAGACACCTTGCAGCTATGGAGGAGACAGATAACCTCTTGTTATGGGCCAGGCCTCAAGACAAAATATGTCTTTAAAAATGCAGATCAAGCAAGCAGCTTCATGCAAAGGTTTTGGAACATTTAGCAGATGTTTGATATTCAAATGGAGATAGGACAAATATAATCTTGCCCTGTTTGATGTCAAATGCACCAAGTTTGTTGGCTCACAACATTAAGGAAACCAAAAGAAGTTCAAACCAAAAGAAGTTCAAAAAGTTTTCTGGGAAAAAAGAGAGAAGAATAGCCCTGGATTTTCAAGAGTGCTCTTCAGTGTTTAAGTCACAGACCTATTGTCAGGGGTCATTTATGCAGCAAAGTCACACTGTGGCTACAATGTGAGTCCCAAACTACAATTGTAAGGCTGGTGTCACAGGGAAGAAGACCTCAAGGACCCACGCCTCTAAGGGGGCAAAAAGGCTTTATTTCCATGCGCATGGGGTCCATCCAGCAAACTGGTGCAGAGGACCCTGAAGGGAAGTTACAGGGGGTTTGTAAAGGCACAAACCGCAAAAAGCAGGTGATGTTACAGAAGCAGATTGCATTGGTTAGTTTTAAACGGCGCAGGGCTTGGCAGAAGCTGATTGGAGGGGCCCAGGGTTGGGTAACTTTAGTGTCCAGGGGTCCTAGCCTGGTCACTGTGTTCCCGGAACTGTAACTTATCTTGCCTAACTCACTGAGACAGAACATCCTGTGGTTTTATGACCAACGGAAAGTCCCTTCTTGCTTTGTACAGATAGCTTGGGGGTTGCAGCTGTAAAGTTAAGTTAACTCTTTCATTCCCCCCTTTTCTTGTGAATAACCTTTAATCTTAAAGGTCTTATATGGGCAGGGGGTCATACTGTTGGTGTAGCATCATAATTTTTACTTGAGAAATCTGAGACCTCACGAACTGGGTTACACGATTAATGAGGCAGGGGGCTATAGCCATGACCGTGTTGAACCCAGCCAGGGGTCCCAATAAGGGAAGGACATAAGGCAGGATTGACTCCCAGAGAGAGGGCACTTTGGTTTCACTCGGAGGGGGTTCTCGGGATTTGATTTTCTCTCTCAACTTTTCCATTGCATCTTTAACAATTCCACTATGGTTGGTGAAAAAACAGCATTGTTCTTTAAGCGTGGCGCAGAGGCCCCTCTCTTTGACAGTGTCAGAGGGCCCTTTTGTTGGCCACTTTGTGTTCCTGACAAGCTAAGGTGTTGATCCTTTATTGAGGGGGTCCACGCTGTGGCCACTGTCTCAGATCCCCAGTAGGCACAATAATATTCGCCTGGGGAGTTACAGTAACTTCTCCCTTCCACAGAAGCGGGACATAGATAAATTCCCAGAGGGAGATCTACATTGGGATCAAGAGGGACTAGGTCACACGAATAAAAACTGAAGGTTGGATAGCCTGATCCTGTCTATCTGCCGACCTCTTTTTGGTTATCCCACCTAATCAATGACCAGACCCAGGGGCGGTGGGGGTTGGCCACAGCGGGGATAATTAACATAAGTAATCCCGTCAGGGCCCAGAGGGCTAAAGTCTGGAGTTTTAGATGGGTCATCTTGCAAGAGCACACAAGGGAGGTGTATAGGACAGTGTTAGGGGGTCTTTCGACGCAGCTTTAGCTTTAGGGGGTTATCAGACCATTTGAGTTCCCAGCAATCGTCCTCTGGCACCAAGGCAGGTTTCAGGTGTGACACGTGGATCCAAGAGGCGATGTCGTCGACCTTCACCGCTGTGGGAGTAGTTAGTAGGATCTGGTATGGTCCTTTCCAGCGAGGTTGTAGGGTCTCTTGTTGGTGGCGCCGGACGAGCACAAAGTCTCCCACCTGGTATGGATGTGGTATGAGAGATTCGCTGGGAGCGTAGACTGAGGCTAGCTGTGTCCACAAATCCTTTTGTAGGCAGTCAAGGGTGGTGAGCCTGTCAGACAAGGAGGTTTGTAACAGGGCGGAATATTTAGTTAAGGGAGTGAGATCCCGAATGGGGGGTGGGGCACCAAAAAGAATCTCAAAGGGAGTGAGGTTAGGAGGTTTGGCTGATGGGGTTTTCTGTGCACGAAAAAGAGCATAAGGCAGGAGCATCGTCCAATCTTTTAAGCCAGTCTCATGGGCTAATTTAGTGAGGGTCTCCTTAATTGTTCTATTCATCCTTTCTACCTGTCCTGAACTTTGGGGTCTATAAGCACAATGTAATTTCCAATCAATCCCCAATATGTTGGCCAGTCCCTGACTTACCTTAGCCACAAACGCCGGCCCATTATCAGACCCTATTACCTTTGGCAGTCCAAACCGGGGAAACATTTCTTTCATCAACTTCTTTGTGACTACGGCAGCAGTTTCCTTCTTAGTAGGAAAGGCCTCGATCCATCCGGAAAAGGTGTCCACAAAGACTAATAGATATTTTAGTCCATACCGGGCAGGTTTAACTTCAGTAAAGTCTACTTCCCAGTATTGTCCAGGCCTGGAACCACGCAGTCTTTTGCCTGGGGCCAGCTTGGTAGGATAGGCATTGGTTAATTGACAAGCCTTGCAGCTAGTCACAACCCGTGTGGCAATCTGACATATGGCAGTGGGAGATACCCCCGGAAAATCTTGGCATTGGGCCAATAGACATAGCTTCTTAACCCCCAAGTGGGTGAGCTGGTGGGCCTGTTGGATGTAAGCAGTCAGGTCTGGCACCTCAGAGGTTTGGTTAACTTGAGCTTCTTCTTTAGGAGGAGGATATTTGATATCAGTCACCAACATCTGTGAGCTACCCGTAGCTGCCGATTTTGCTGCCTGGTCGGCCAGGTTGTTTCCCTTTTTAACGGGATCAGTTCCTTTCTGGTGGCTGTTACAGTGTATTATTGCCACCTTCTGGGGTAACATGACTGCAGCCAGCAGTTGAAGAATCTCCTGTTTGTGTTTTATCTCTTTGCCTGCAGAGGTCAGGAGTCCCCGCTGGCGGTATATGGCCCCATGAATGTGAGCCATTGCAAAAGCATATTGGCCGTCCGTGTAGATGTTTGCCCGCTTTCCTGTGGCGAGCTCTAAAGCCTTAAGAGCAATCAATTCGGCTTTTTGTGCCGAAGATCCATCCTCTAGCTTGGCTGTCCAGATAACATTGGAATGCTCAGTCACAGCCGCCCCTACGTACCATTTACCTTGGATCAAGAAGCTACTCCCGTCAGTGAAGTAGGTCACCTCAGCATCGGGCAAGGGGTAATCCGACAGGTCCGATCGCACCCCGGTTTCCTCTGCCAGGATATCTTGACAGGTATGAAGGATTGGTTCTGGAGTTTCTTCTGGTAGTAGGGTAGCCGGATTGAGGGTCACTGGGGGCCCAAAGATTATTTTGTCTTTATTGAGTAAGAGGCTTTGGTAATGTGTGATCCGGGCATTTGAGAGCCATCTATTGGGAGGTTGGCGGATGACGCTTTCTAGTGTGTGGGGGGCAATAATTGTTAATTTTTGTCCCAAAGTCAGTTTATCAGCATCCTTAGTGAGCAGGGCCGCTGCTGCAATGGCCCTTAAGCATGGTGGCCATCCATTTGCCACGGTATCTAGTCTCTTTGAGAGGTAAGCCACCGGTCGTTTCCATGGCCCAAAGGTCTGGGTCAGCACTCCTCTAGCTATTCCCTTTTTCTCTTCGATGAAGAGAGTGAAGGGCTTATTTATATCAGGTAGGGCTAGGGCCAAGGCAGATAGGAGGGCTCTCTTGATGGCATCGAAGGCCTGTTGGTGATCTTTTCCCCAGACAAAGGGTGATCCTCCCTTAAGCAATGGGTAAAGGGGAGCTGCCAAGGATGCGAATCCTGGGATCCACAGCCGGCAAAACCCCGCTGTACCCAGAAATTCTCAAAGCTGTTTTTGGCTTTTGGGGGGAGGAATCTGGATCACAGTCTGTTTTCTAGATTCAGTGAGCCATCTTTTTCCTTCCCTTAGGGAGTAACCCAGGAAGATTACCTCTCGTTTGCAGATCTGAGCCTTTTTTGCTGATGCTCTGTACCCCAGAGCGGCCAACTCGCGTAGGAGATCTTGGGTCCCGTTGTTACAGTCCTTCTCCGAATCTGCTGCCAGCAGCAAGTCATCTACATATTGAACTAGAGTGAGGTCCAGGTGTTGAGTCCGGAACGGAGCTAGATCTTTGTGGAGAGCCACATCAAAGATAGTCGGGCTGTTTTTGAACCCCTGGGGGAGGCGCGTCCATGTCAACTGTCCGGTAGTCCCGCAGTCTGGATCAGTCCATTCAAATGCAAACAGTGGTTGGCTGTCTTTGTATAAAGGCAAGCAGAAAAAGGTATCTTTTAAATCTAGAACAGTATACCAAGTTCTGGATGGGTTTAGACCGCTGAGGAGATTATAGGGATTTGGCACGGTGGGGTGGATATCTTCTACCTGATTGTTGACCTCTCTCAAGTCCTGTACTGGCCTATAATCATTAGTTCCTGGCTTTTTGATGGGGAGTAACGGTGTATTCCATGCAGACCGACAAGGGGTCAATACCCCTTGATCTAAAAGTCTCTGAATGTGCACCTTGATTCCTTGATGAGCCTCCCTGCTGATGGGGTATTGTTTAACTCAGATGGGGGAGGCAGTGGCCTTTAAAGTAACCACTACTGGTGGCTTTTGGTTGGCTAGTCCCAACCCAGCCATTTCAGCTCAGGAGTCTTTGAAATCAGCTAACCAAGCAGGAGGAACAGGCTGGAGACTCTGATCATTGTAGAGCCTATATTCATCTTCCAACTTTAGAGTTAATATTGTAACCATGGGCTGTCCGACCTTCGGGTTGCAGAATGTCACTTGAGGTCCCTGGGGCTCAAAGGAAATTTTTGCCCCTAATTTAGTTAACAGATCTCTTCCTAACAGGGGAGCCGGGCATTCCGGGATGACCAGGAAGGAATGTTTTACTTTTCCTTTTCCCAGGTTGACCGTGCGCTCGGTGGTCCATGAGCGGTATTTGCTTCCATTAGCCCCTTGAACTAGCGATTTTTTGGCTGAAAGGGCTCCCAAGGGGGCCTGAAGGGCTGAGTAAACAGCTCCCGTGTCGACTTCAAAGTCCACGGGAGTCCCCTCCACCTTAAATGTTACCCAGAGCTCGGGGAGGGGAACCGAGATCTGAAGTCCCTAGTCCTCCTCATCTAAGGCGAGCATGGGGGCTCGTTGTCGCTGTGAGGACTGCCTTTCCTGTTTTTCTTTGGCTCTCCATTTTTTAAGCTTCTCACAGTCTTTAATTAGGTGTCCTTTCTCCTTGCATTATGCACATTGGTCAGGGTCTAATGGGGGGCGATTGGGCTTTCCCTTTCCTGTCTCAGATTTACCCTGAATAGCTGCGGCCAACACTTTTGCAAACTCTTTATTTCATCTTTTGTCCCTTGCTAGTTCTTTCTCTTCCTCTGTCTCTTGTTTATAGTAGACTTTTTCAGCTTCCTTAACGAGATCCCTCAGAGTTAGGTCTTGTAGACCATCTAGCCTTTGGAGCTTACATCTTATATCAGGAGCCGATTGCCCTATGAAAGCCATGGCTATTGAGCCCTGTCGGCCTTCATCTTCAGGGTCAAAAGGCGTGTACCATCGGTAAGCCTCCATCAAGTGTTCTAGAAAAACTGAGGGAGTCTCAGTGGGCCCTTGAGTTACTTCTCTTACCTTGGCCAAATTGGTAGGGTGCCTCGCGGCCGCCCGGAGACCCACCATTAGAGTCTTGCGATAGATGAAAAGATGCTGCCTACCGTCAGGAGAGTTGGGGTTCCAGTCGGGGCACTTTAGCGGGAAAAGATCGTCAATCCGATCGGGTCTCTGGGTAGGTCTGCCATCATCTCCTGGAACACTTTTTCGGGCCTCTAGGAGGATTCGATCTCTTTCCTTGGTGGTGAACAGGACCCCCAATAGTTGTTGGCAGTCATCCCATGTGGGTTGGTGGGAGAACATGAGCGAGTCCATTAGGCCTGTTAACTTAGAGGGGTCATCAGAGAAAGAGGGGTTATTATTTTTCCAGTTGTATAAATCTGAGGATGAGAATGGCCAGTACTGAAGGGCCGGCATTTTTCCCCCTTCCGTCCCATCACTTATAGTGGGCCCATAGGGACGGAGAGGGAGAGTGACGACCGGGTCCTCCAGCTGCTGTCTACTGCGGGTGTTCCGGGCTGGGCCCTCAGGCCCAGGGGAACTGGCCTCAGAGCAGGCCACAGAGGGAGGTGAGGAGCACGGAGAGAGAGTTGGAGCTGAGGGAAGGGAGGCCTCTGACTCCAGCGGGGAGACGGGTGGTGGGAGTGCATAGGGAAGAGGCAAGGTAGGTCAAGGAGGAGGGTGATCACAGTCAAGCAGAGGGAGGTCAGGATGGGAGTCAGGCAGGACCGGGGCAGGGGGCCCTTTTAGAGCCAAGAGTTTGGGTATGGAAGACTCGGGCGGAGGAAGGAAGGGTTTTACCCATGGTGGGGGTTCCTCCCTGAGGTCCTGCCATACCAAGATGTAGGCGACCTGGTCGAGGGTGGCCCTCTCATCTGGGGCGGAAGATGATGTCTTTAACTGCTAAAATGAGGGGAAGGTGGAAAGTCCCCTCCGGTGGCCAACCCACGGAGAATGTGGGCCACTCAGACGAGCAGAAAGTCTGCCATTTACCTTTTTTAACCTGTAAGGAGAGATTGTGAGCCCTCTCTCGAACCTCCGACCAATGGTCGAGGGTGAGGGACAATGGGGACGATGTCGTCTGTCCCATGATGTTCTGAAGACAAAGAGTGGTTAGCGTACGCATGACACAACAAAGAACGGATCATAACAGCCACAACACACAGGACAAACAGGCCGGCCAACTCACTCTCACGCATTAGTCTCACACCAAACGAGTCACCTTAGGGGGTGCCTCCAGACGAGTCACCTTAGGGGGTGCCTCCAGATGAGTCACCTCAGGGGGTGTCTCCAGACGAGTCACCTTAGGGGGTGCCTCCAGATGAGTCACCTTCGGGGGTGCCTCCAGATTGGTCCGGACGGACCACAGATTGGGAATGAAATTCCCCAGACCGATAGGAAAACCCTATCGCAGACGGTGAGCCACGGAGAACCATGTGGGGCATCCCCCGGTCACCAAAGAACAGAAAACAGAAATTGCCCCTGGAGTAGAGCCGGAGTTCGGCCTGGGGCGAAAAGAAAATGGTGGATCGATCCAAAACGAAAGTAAAAATATGACCGGTCCTACTCACCCAAAGAGGGACGCTGAGCCATTGAGATCGTCTCCCGTGAGACGTACAATTTCGCTAGGGCCTCCAAATGTAAGGCCGGTGTCGCAGGGAAGAAGACCTCAAGGACCCACGCCTCTAAGGGGGCAAAAAGGCTTTATTTCCATGCGCATGGGGTCCATCCAGCAAACTGGTGCAGAGGACCCCGAAGGGAAGTTACAGGGGGTTTGTAAAGGCACAAACCACAAAAAGCAGGTGATGTTACAGAAGCAGATTGCATTGGTTAGTTTTAAACGGCGCAGGGCTTGGCAGAAGCTGATTGGAGGGGCCCAGGGTTGGGTAACTTTAGTGTCCGGGGGTCCTAGCCTGGTCACTGTGTTCCCGGAACTGTTACTTATCTTGCCTAACTCACTGAGACAGAACATCCTGTGGTTTTATGACCAACGGAAAGTCCCTTCTTGCTTTGTACAGATAGCTCGGGGGTTGCAGCTGTAAAGTTAAGTTAACTCTTTCACAATCAACCTATAAGCTTGTAGTGAGTGGCTGAACTAGTATTACTTAACCTGGGAAGAAGTCACCCAGAAAAAGTATGTTGAAAGAGCAAAGGCATTTTGTGGGAACAATAGTCCAGCTGTTCTGGTCATTGAGTATGGTAATTGATGCCTATTAGGACTTCCTGGAGGAAGTAGTGGTAAGTGTAGTACATTTCAAGCTATTGTTTTTCTCTTTAGGAGGCATGTAGACATGGTCACTGCATCTTCACCTTTATGTCTGGCTTTCTTAAGCTGAGCCTGTAGAGGGATTGTTGTGTTTAGTTTTTTATGTTGACTCCTTTGATGTTTCAATTTCTCTCTGACTGTATATCAATTTTTCTCTACTTTGACCTCCTGTAGTAAAATCACAATACCATTTGACTGGATAATGTGATGTTTATACATTTAATAAAATATTACTCAATAGAGGCCAGGGGTTTAGCTCAGCAGGCAGAAGCACCTGCCTGGGAAGTGCTAAGTTGTGAATTTGATCCACGGTACCTAAAAAAAAAAGTGTTTTAAACTGCAGAGAAAGAAAATAGCTTCATTTGTGAAGATGTAGATTAACAAGAGTTTTAATTAAATATGTCAATGGTAAATTAAACACTGGTAATAGTCGTATATAGAATCTGAAGGTGTTGGCTGGGTTTTGAGCTTAGTGGTCAAAGCAATGTTCGAAAGCCTTTGCATGAAGCTACGTGCTTGCTCTGCATTTAAGATTTCAATGAGTTTTTGGACCTCTTCATTCTAGCAAATTGCAGATTTATTGGAGGAAGGAGGTTACTGTTGTGGTATAGCACAATAGGTACCATTCCTAACTCTGTATTTATCACAGCTGCCAGGATGCCACTACATGGCTGGCTGTCCGCTCTAACATCATTCTATTATTGCCAATTTAGGTCAGCTTTCATTCAGCTCTATTATTTTTGTTTTTCTTTAGTGGTCTTTCTCTCTCCCTTGGTTTTTTACTTTTTTCATTTTTATTTTTTTGTTTTTAAAGATGTAGTCTCACTTTGTAGTTCTGGGTGGCCTTTCACTCACTGCGTAGGTTAGACTGTCCTTGAATACATGGCCATTCTCCTGTTTCAGCCTCCTTAATGCTGTGGAAAAGAGGTGGGCATCATAACACATGGTATTGGTTCTTTTCTTCCCTCCTTTCAGCATTATTCTTTCATTTCAGGGGCACTGACATTTAATCCAGAGGTTTGCTTCTGTCAGTAATCTTTCTGCTTCTTGAGGTGAGTTTGTGAACAACAGTATAGGAATCCAAGCATCCAGAGAATAAATTTGGAATTTAAATATTTGAGCTCAAAACCACTTTTATACAGAACTCCTTCCCCATTTGAGAATCTAAACAATTAGCTCTGAACTGGAAAGTTAGGCATTTTTAAAAGAGAGAATCACAGAAGACATCCCATTGGAAAAAATTTAGCTAGAATCTTAAATTAATTTTTTGGTTGACACCTGTAGCCTGCTTCTTTTTTTAGCAGGTTACCTTTTTACTTGGGTACAGCTCCTTTTGCTTTTCTCATGGAACTTATACCCTGAGTGATTTTTCATTTTCCTGGATCAAATTCAGGGCACTAGATAAATGCAGGGTGCAAGAGAGCATCTGTTATGCCAGGCTATAATACACCTGAGCTACAGTGCCAAGCCTCAGTATTTTCTAGGGTCAAAAGCACATAATGTTTGAATATTTCACTGTTTATGATGTTCATCCTTATAGTAAAGTGTGATCTATAGTCAGGACAAGCGAAGCTCACTAGGACTCTCATTGCTTTCCACTGGTCTTTTTCTCATCATCCTTAAATACAATAGTCTGAATTCTTAATACTAATGCTCACATTTGATTCATATTCCTACTTGTGACATCTCCTTTTTCTGCAGTAGTCTATCCTGGTATCCCGGGCTCATAAGAGATAGAAACACATCTTCTGATTCCCTACACTCCAATGATGTTATGTGTTATATTGAACAATTTTCCTTTAAGGGAATGCCAGTTAATGAATACATGTGTATCTTATGACTATTTCTTCAGGTTTCAAACAACCCCAGGAATTCTTTCAAGTTTTATGTGCACACCTGTAATCCCAGAATTTGGGAGGCTGCTGTAGGATAATCAATGAGAATTGACTGGACTAGGAAGTGAGTCCACAGTCAGCCTGAACTGCATGGGGAAATCCTGTCTCAAACAAACAGAAAAAAAATCCTATTATTGTGGATATCCTTGGGAAGAAGAACTCAAAAGTTTGAAACTCTTAAGATCATACCTATTATGTTTCATCTGGTGAGTATAAGAGACCAGTAAAACTACCTTCAAGAATATGGAGAAAACTCAAAAAATCTTATTGCAAACTGTCATATAGATGTAATGCATTGCCACCAAAATACCACTAGGATAGCTCACAAATGTAGAGAGAACATTTCTAAAATTCATCCGGAAGCAGAAATGCTTTAGATTGCCAAAGACATCGCTGGGCAACAAATCAGCATAGTTCTGGTGGAAAAACAGACCTAAGAATCAACCAAAAAGACTAGAAGATACAAATAGAACTAAAAATACACACCACTAATTTGTGTTTGACAAAGGAGCCAAACATGCTCAGTTGAAGAGAGATAGCCTCTTCAATAAATGGTGCTGAAGAAAATGACTTTTCTCATACTGAAGACTTAAACTGGAGATAGGTCTATCACTATGAAACAAACAAAAGTCAAACTAGATTAAAGATCCAAATATTAAAACAGAAACACTAATGAGGCTTCATGAACAAAATACGAATTTTAAAGAATCAATCACTGGGACCCCATCTTATTAACAAATATTTCTACATCAAAAGAAATCACTAACAGAATGAAAAGACAATGCCCAGAATGGGCAAGGAATACCTTTCTGTTTATGACAATGTCTTCAACATCCTTTTTCAAAGTACTATAATTTTCAATATGTAAGTCCTTTACTTTCTTCGTTAGGTTCTTTCCAAGTATTTTGTTTTCTGGGAGGCTATTGTAAAGGCTGTGGTTTCTGAAACTTCTCTGTTGGTGAGTTTGTTGATTGTGTACAGCAATGCTATTGATTTTTGATTGTCAACTATGTCTCCCTCTACATTATTGAATTTGGTTATTAATTCCAGGACTGTTTGGTGGAGTCTTTGTTATCTTCTATTTAGAATATCATATCATCTGTGAATAATGATAGTTTAATTACTTTCTATTATATATTTATTCTTATTTGTCTCTTTTGTCTAATTGGTCTGCCTAATGTTTCCAGAGCTATATTGAATGGGAGTGGTCATAATAGTGATCCGTGTCTTTTTGATACCTATAAAATGAAAGTTCTCTGTTATTCTCTATTTAGTATGAGGCTGGAAGTTTCTTTGTCATTGTCTGATTTTTTTTTTTGTCTTTTTCTTTTTTATCAGTACTGGTGATTGAACTCACGACCACACAATTGCAAGGCGGGTGCTTACGCCACTGAGCTAACCCCAGCCATGTCATTGTTTGATTTTATCAGCTTGAGGTATAGATCATCTGTTGTTATTTACACTAGGGTTTTTATCACAAATCAGTGCTTGATTTTATAAAAAGCTTATTGTGCATTTATTGAGATGATTACCATGTGACTTTTGTTTTTGACTATGTTGATATGACATTTAAATTTGTTGATTAGCATGTACTGAAACATCCCTGACTCCCTAGGATGAATCCAAGTTGATCAGGTTTTAAAATCTTCTTGATGATTTGCTACATTCACTTAGCTAGTACATTGTTAAGGATTTTTGCATCTTGTTCATTAGGAAAACTGTCCTATAGTTTACTTTTTCTGGTTGGGTCTTTCTCTGGTGTTAGTATCAGGGTAATACTTGCCTCCAGGAATGAGTTAGGGATAACAGCTTCTCTTTCAATGTCTTTAAACAGCAGTGGTCTTAAATTTTTTTCTACATTTATTGTAGAATCCAGCAGTAAATCCATCAGGACTTAGACTTTTTTATGTTGGTCATTTGCTTTACTGTTGTCATTGTTTTTCTTTTTTTTAATGTGCTCATGAGTTAGGCTCTCATTATTCAGTTCAGGTTGGCCTTGAGCTCACTTTGTAGTGTTGTTATTCTCGAACTCACAACAATCCTTGTACCTCAGCCTCCCAAGTTCTGGGATTACAGGAATGCACCACCATGCCCAGCAGTTGATACATTTTTAATTAGATCTTCATTCTCATTTCCTGATACTGTATTTTCTAGAATTTTTATATCTTCTTGGATCAGATTTGGCATTTCATATGTTTCTAGGCATCAGTGCATTTCTATATTTTCTAACCTATGAAAGTATAAGCTTTTCAAGTAGATATTGATGATCTTCTGAATTTTCACAGAATCTGTAATTATTTTATTCTTCTGATTCCTCAGTGCATGGTTTCCAGTCTTTATTTTTTTCTTTTATGATATGGTTGTCCAAGGGTTTATCAATTTTGCTTATTCTTTCAGTGAACCACCTCTTTGATTCATTAATTATTTGTATT